GTGCTTTCACACTAGCACTTTTGGTGCGCACCCGGGTTCGATTGACGTCAGAGTTCGGTACGTTTGGATGATGTGAACGCTGTCTTCCGAACTCGGGTGCGCACCTGCGACCCGTACCCATGTCCGCTTAAAAAGGGTGGTCTGGGGTACTGTGACGCAATTGTACCAAATCACGGAAGTGAACCACTGTTAATGACATATTATTTGATAAAAATGTGTGTTTGTGTGTGTTTCACTCACTTTCTTGACGAGCGTGACTGACGAGCTGCAAGCAGAGAGCTGTATCTCATTTCTGTTCACCTTCAGAGTACTTTAGAGCATTTGCAGTACATTCGTAAGGCAGACGTAAGTGCCCTTATGTACTGAAGCTTTGGAAACAAAACCAACGGTTCCAAACCATAAATATAAAATTGAAGAGAGCCTTGCTACGCATTTTGCGCCATCGTTACTAAGCAACGGGGTAAACAGCTGCTGGCTTGATGACGCAAACGAACCGTGGTTCGGACCCAAATAATATAATGTGAACACAGTCCAGCGGGGGCAGGGGGAGGGGGGAGCAATCGAACTCTGGTTTGGACCAAGCAATCAAACCAAGTGTGAAAGCACCCTTAGTGACGATGTGACACTGCCTCGATTGTGCAATTCCTGTGTCAACTGTGCAGCGTGCAGCTCGCTTATAGTGCAGACGTGATGTGGTGATTTGAAGACATTTACGTATTTTGAGAGCGAGAGAGCGCGCGGTGATTCACTCACGCTGTTTGTGACATTACGTCTCACACAAGGTTTTTAAATTACTTTATAAGATATTTAATTAAGAAATATGAAGGTGAGTACCCCACCTTCAGCATTATAATTATTTCACCTGTGCCTGACAGAGACTGAGACGGTGCCGCTGCATGTCGTGCCAAACCTTCTCATCAGCTTGAGATCATTTTTTGAGATCGGCCTTTTTAGAGACTGCTGATCAATCATCCCAAAGCGATTATCGACCGATAGTGATCGGTAGCCGATCAATCGGAGCACCCCTAGTAATGTGCATGGGTTATAGACTTAAAGTACAGTAATACAATCTTTCACAGACATGTTTAAACACAATAAATTTAAGCAACATATTATTCCATGCTTTTTACTTTTGCATTTACTTCTAGACTTGTATATTAAGTTGCTCAAGCAAGTGGCAAAACATTTAAACTTTCTATACTTTTCTTACGTTATCACAAACTTACCATTGACAGAAATAGTCAGCTCTACTGCCTTTCCTTTTGCATTGAAATCTTTATTACAACCAATGCTGCAGTTCATAACTTTTTCCTACCTCCACGAGTGCCATCGATTATTGCCTTGTTTATCTAAAAGTGCTCTTTCCCTTTAAACCTAGCCAACAAGCCATGTTGATTGTGAAACACAGTAGACTTTAATAATATGCATTTATGGTGTAATTACTACATTTTCGTGTCAATCCATGTGGTGTAATTACTAATTACTACATTTTCGTGTCAGTCCATGTTAATATTTACTGCAAAAACTGTGCTGTTACTTTAATTCAGCGCTTGCAGCGCAGCGAAAATAGATTTGGTGTGGAAACGATCTCTGCACTTCTGCAGACGCACCGCTCTTGGAACGCACTGCCGAACCGCAACCGCGTGCAGTGTCCACGCTTTATTAATCTGTTAACATGAGTGAGGAAAAAATACGCACCACATTCGCAATGCAAACAAAGTAATGTGAACCTGGCATTATGTGTGTGCGCTGCGAGTGTGCATGAGCGCACAGTCTCCTGCGAGCACTGAATGGTTCAACACTGTCAAGAATTAAAAAGTAATGCAATTTATAAACTTTAGAGTGCTTTCACACTAGCACTTTTGGTGCGCACCCGGGTTCGATTGACGTCAGAGTTCGGTACGTTTGGATGATGTGAACGCTGTCTTCCGAACTCGGGTGCGCACCCGCGAACCGTACCCGAGTCCGCTTAAAAAGGGTGGTCTGGGGTACTGTGACGCAATTGTACCAAATCACGGAAGTGAACCACTATTAATGACTTATTATTTGATAAAAATGTGTGTTTTTTCAGTCACTTTCTTGACGAGCGTGACTGACGAGCTGCAAGCAGAGAGCTGTATCTCATTTCTGTTCACCTTCAGAGTACTTTAGAGCATTTGCAGTACATTCGTAAGGCAGACGTAAGTGCCCTTATGTACTGAAGCTTTGGAAACAAAACCAACGGTTCCAAACCATAAATATAAAATTGAAGAGAGCCTTGCTACGCATTTTGCGCCATCGTTACTAAGCAACGGGGTAAACAGCTGCTGGCTTGATGACGCAAACGAACCGTGGTTCGGACCCAAATAATATAATGTGAACACAGTCCAGCGGGGGCAGGGGGAGGGGGGAGCAATCGAACTCTGGTTTGGACCAAGCAATCAAACCAAGTGTGAAAGCACCCTTAGTGACGATGTGACACTGCCTCGATTGTGCAATTCCTGTGTCAACTGTGCAGCGTGCAGCTCGCTTATAGTGCAGACGTGATGTGGTGATTTGAAGACATTTACGTATTTTGAGAGCGAGAGAGCGCGCGGTGATTCACTCACGCTGTTTGTGACATTACGTCTCACACAAGGTTTTTAAATTACTTTATAAGATATTTAATTAAGAAATATGAAGGTGAGTACCCCACCTTCAGCATTATAATTATTTCACCTGTGCCTGACAGAGACTGAGACGGTGCCGCTGCATGTCGTGCCAAACCTTCTCATCAGCTTGAGATCATTTTTTGAGATCGGCCTTTTTAGAGACTGCTGATCAATCATCCCAAAGCGATTATCGACCGATAGTGATCGGTAGCCGATCAATCGGAGCACCCCTAGTAATGTGCATGGGTTATAGACTTAACCTTCACTTTACACCACATACCATGTTGTTTACGCTTAGAAATGTACCTTCACTCTGTTCAGTTCACTCTGTCACCTAGAGCTGCAACATGTTACATGATACTGTGAGAAATTTAAAAAACTGTCATGATGTGAAAACATATTTACTCTTGTTAAAGATATTATAGTGACTCTGCAACTTTTCTTTCACATGTTCATCATAACTGCATTTATTTGATCAAAAATACAGTGAAATCAGAAATGTACTATATAAAATACAGGGCTCGCAAAATTTCAAAACAGCTGGCATTTGCTTGTGCCACACCAACTGAATGTTAACACCGTGCAGGTGGTGGTCTGATAGCAGGGCTCACAAAATTTAAAAATCGCTGGTAGCCCTTTGGGCAGACATTCTTCAGATTTTGGTAGCCCAAATTTAAAAAAAAAAGACATCGGCTGAACTTCCCTGCGGGCAAATAAGCAGGATTAAAAACTTCAGGGATTTGCTTTTTTTTTTTTTTTTTTTCTTCAAATAAGTCAAGAGAGTAAACGGATCACAAAACCCACGGCTCAGATCATATTGCATTATCATATCAGATTTTGAGTAACAGACCATATAATTTTGCAGATGAGCAAAAAAATATGGTTCTTTATTATTTAAATAACAGATTACTTCTTTGATACTTCAGGGATGTAACCATTCTCTCAACTCACAATGCTATGCGATACGATTCACGATACTGATTTCACAATACAATTTTTATTTTTAACAAAATGAGATTTAAGAAAAATTCTAAATGGAAAAGGTGTCCTATTATTATTTCTCCAACAAAATTCTGCACGTTTCTTTGTGAAATTAAAATGTCAAATAATAAAACTAAATTTGAAAATTTTAAACAAATCTCAAATAAAATAATACAATAAAACAAATCTCTTCATATAAACACAACTAAAAAAAAAAAATCTTACTGATCCAAAACTTTTAAATGGTAATCTATGTTGAAATGTGTATATATACTCACTGTTTATTGAGTTAACATGTTCCATGTGTTTTCTCAGATTAAAGGACTACAGCAGAACAAGGAGATGACCCTGGCTAGTAACCGTCTTCTGGCTGAGCAGAACCTTAAACTGCAGCCCAGACTTGACCACCAAAAGAATGAACTGACCAGTCGGTACCGGAGCCTACAGGAGCCGTTTGAGGCCTATCAGCTGCGAAAGTCCACTCTAGGTAAAATACTGGGATTAAAATGTAACGTGTAGCCTTTCTGTGTAGCATATGTCTCTTACAATTACAAACTTTTGTATGTTGAGGTTATGTCCTTTATGGACCTGGGACTATTTCTACAATATGTAATTTTGAAAAGCTGCAGTGAAAACAATGTAAATGTGTGAAGTGTCCCTCTAGGTGTTTGTTGCTGTGGCATGTGAACATATTAGGGCTGTCGCGAATATCGCAATACCGTGCTATTGACGAGCAAACCGCACAGGAATGCAAGAACTGCAGCAACCGCGATTTTTCCGTGTTTTATTTTTTCGTAAGGTTATGGCCTTCTCATTTTACACTTCATGCATGTGGACTGAATATTAAACAAGTTAGTAATGATAACATAATGTGTACCATGCTGATTTGTACAGAGGCTCCGTAGATTTGCACTTAACAAGCCTAAACAGACCGTGAATGAGAGCGAGATCGACTGAGCGCGTGCGATTACTTGCGTCTGTCCTCCAGGCCGAGTTATATATATTTGTGAAAATAGGTTGTCATGTTCAAGGAAAGCGAAATCTCTGTCTAAGCATTGATGCATAGCTGGTCAGCTGAGCCTTCTAAAGTGGCGCTCAAAGTTAAAATGATTTCAACAGCATGTTTCATTACGTCTCTTTGAATGAAT